CATCAACCATCTGGCACTGTAACAAACAGCAGAGATAATCAATTTAGGGAGAGAAAAATTTCGTGTTGACTCACACATTTTAGGGATTCCATCCAGTGATTGGTTGATAACTCCCTGCTCTGAGCCTGGATGATATTTCATGGTGGGAATGTGGGATGGAGAAAAAGAGAAGAGGGATGAGACTGTGGTCCCTCCATCTCCTTTGAGGATGAACCCTCAGTGCTCCCTAAACTTCTCACTGTACCCCATTTCTTAAAGGTTCCACAGCCATTAACACAAAGCCATTTAGAAGATATGCATGAATCTGATGCAGGCTTTTGCTTCATATTTGTGATTAAATTTCCTTTGCTGAACACAAGCTAAGAATGGCAGGCACAAGGACCATGTCTTTCTCCTGGGGGGGGGGGCAGACCTTAGTCTCTACCCTTAATACCATCCACACTGAGTTTTTCACAGTGTGCCCTTTGAGAAATTTTCCTTTTATTCCTGGTGTGTGAGGGCGAGTGAGTGTGCATGTGTGTGAGTGTGTGTATGTATGTGCACATGTGTTCATGTGTGTATGTATGTGTGTGTTCATGTGTGTATGTTGTGTGTGAGTGTGTGTATGTGTGTGAGAGTGTGCATGTGTGTGTGTGCATTGTATGTATGTATGTGTGTGTGTGTGTGTGTGTGTGTGTGTGCTGGCGTGACACACACATGGTGGTTATCCTTGGCAGGAGTCACTTCTCTTTCCACCATGTAGTCCCTGGGAATTGAACTCAGGTCATCAGGTTTAACAGCTGGAGCCTTTACCCGCTAAGCCATCTTGTCCTGTGTTACATTATTTAAGTTTCAAGTGTGAAGTAACTCGCCATTTTGGTATAAGCCCCACTTAGTTATGTTGTAAAATCTCTTCATATATCAAGGATTCCTTGTGCCTAGTTTTGGCTGAAGGTTTTTCTATCTGTCATTGTGAGATACTGGTATAGATTTTCTTGTGATATCTGTTTTTAGTATCAAAGATCATAAATATTAGACTTAAGAAAGAACAAGAATACTATTTCTTCTTTAACTTCTTTGGTAAAAGTTTAAGAAGAATTGATATTGTTTCATTTGTAAGGGCCTGTAGAACTCACTGGTGAAGCTGTCTAGACCTGGGGCTTTCTATGTCGGTAGCTCCTAGCTCCTAATTTAATATCTTAGGGGAATACTCAAAATTTTTATTTCTTTTTGAATCAGTTTTTCCAGTTTGCATTTATTTCCTTCATATTATCTGCCCTGTTGGCACATGGGGGACCAGGGGCTCCTCACGTTCCTTAGAGTCTTTTTATTTTTGTAAAGCCAGTCAGTTTGTCTCCATTTTATTTCTGATGTTTAGCAATTCCAGTGTTACCACCTATTTGTGTAGCTAACATAGCTAAAGGTAAGTTGATATTTTTAAATTTTAAATGAACCAACTTTGAAGATTTTTTTCTTTGGATTCTCCATTATTTATCAGTTCCACCATAAATCTAAGGGCCTCCAGTCCCCGCTTTCACATCGTTTGGCTTCACACAGTTCCTCACACCAACCCTATGATGCCAGTGGACACAGACTTCCTGTTTTTCTTACATTTTCTCCTTTCCATCTGGCCCTGCCTTTGGACCAACAAACCTTCCATCCATTTGCCATCTGGTCAACCCCAGTCCTCCACAAGATGTTCCCTGGGATCCAGACAGAGTCATACGCCCCAGTGGATCCTCCTACCTTTTTCTCTCACTGGGTAACAGCATGTTCTGTGTGGACCACACTGAATCCACTCTTGGGCTGTTGGGCCCCAGACTGCTCCTCAAGGATCCTCTTGGGTAAATGCCGCGTTTGCAGTGTCTATGGGGGTGTTCCATCGAGATGAGGTAGATAAACGGTTTTGAGGTGGAACGTTATTGTTTACAACTCAGGTTGGAGCCCTTCCGTTTGAAGCCGGGGTCGGAGTTAGGGCCTCAGACCTCTCTCCCACTGAACTGCACATCAGACTTCACACCCCTTGAGCACCTGACTCCTGCTCTTCTTCCGTGCTTCTGCAGGGCAGGAGGAAGCAGCTCCTCACAGCCTGCCTTTTGTTCAGCTCCTTCAGACCTCTGTCCTCCGCCAAGCACATGCTTGTAATTTACTGAAAAATTGTGGAGTTCTCTATTTTCACGAGACAGGCGAGACCCTGTCTCGGGTCCTTGCAAACACAGTGGCTTCCTGGATGCTTACAGAAGATATTCCTTTAGACAGATAAACCTCGGTGGCTATGGATAGCATTGTTTCTGAGTCCTGTTGAACTGTGGCAACAGTGCAACACAAGACACCACGCGTTAACTATTTCTTCAGACTCCTGTGGTGTGGACTGAGAACCCGTTTGGCAACATTAAGGTCCAGATCTAATGGAACGTTACCCTACAGACGGGTCCTTTCATTCAAGTTAGAGCTGACTGGTTATAATACGAGACAGGAGCGAGTGAGGACTCAGCCTTCCCAGCAGTCAGAGCCTCCCACACTGAGGCTGGAAAGGGACATTTCAAATCAGATTCCAGATGCCATTGATTTTGTTTTCCAGTCTGAATTGCAGGACAATTTGTTATAATGCTGCATGCCTACATTGGTCTTAATTATCTCATGGACATCTAATAGACTTAATGAGACTCCTGAACAGACTTCCATCAATTAATGGCCCGACATCTTCCTGTTTTCTCTTTTAGCACTGAGGCTTAGTCAGTTGTTTGGTCAGTTCCGGTATATTCCACAGAAACTGTCAACTTACCTGAATCAGTTGTTTGGTATGTTCCAGCACATTCTAGAACAATGAAAACTTAGTCAGTACATAAGCAAATGTGCAGGACCAAGTTGAAAGTGGATCGCGGGAGGCTTGGGAGGTGGCTCCGCTGTTCTCGGGTGCAGAACCATTTCCTGCCTATATTATTTTCAGTTAATAACTTCTGGGCTCTGAAAATCGATTTGGTCAGCAATGCTTGCTACTGTCCCTCAGTTACTCAAAAGCTAAGAGAGTGAAAAGGGAGCATACAGTCTGCCTTCACAAAGCGACAGACCCGGTGCTGCAAGCGCGCAGGCCTGATGTCAATTTTAGCTTAAAAAATGCGGGCACGGCTGAATTTTCTGTGCTTTCATGTGCGGTGCGTCCTCTTTGTCTAAGAAGGGATGGAGGGAAGGTATTTGAGAGTTTGTAAACGAAGGAAGAACATTTCTTTTCAAGACTTTGTTTTTGATTTTCCGTGTGTGATCTGTGTTGGTATGTGCACGGGATCAGGGTGCCCGTGGAGTGAGGAAGAGGAGGTCAGATCACCTGGAGCTGGAGTAACAGGCAGTCGTGAGCTGCTAGATAGGAAGTTCTGAGAACAAAGCCTGGGTCCTCTGCAAGAGCAGAATGTGCTTTTAACCACCGGGCCATTTCTCCAGTCCTAGAGAAAGTACATTTATATACATTTTCTACTTGTGAGTAATGCTTGCTGGGAAAGCTTCCTGGATGCAATCTTAGTAAATATACCTGCATTGTTCTACTCTACTCATAATGCAAATTATTTATACAATTTCTAAAACATAAAACAATACTTGTTTAAAATCAGTGATGAGAACATCCAAGTTTGTTAGTTAATGTTTACGTCTTCCTACCCAGAAGACAGAGTTTATACTGTGAGTTGAGCGATACCCAAGACAACGTGGCCAGACCTGCCTGTGGCAGCCTGGGGATGCCCATGCTGTCCCTCTGTGCTATATGATGATGGGGACACAACATTCCTTTCCCCTTATTTCCAGTGTGGCCACTATTCAACAATAGTAATGATACCAATGTCTCTAAGAGGCAGAGGATTTCATGGGCTGCTAGAAACACTGATAATGCTTAACACCACACACTGAGGGCTTCCCTTTTGTCTATTTATTCCTCCCAGAATTTGGAAAGAGGGTAGACCAGGTGTGTGTGTGTGTGTGTGTGTGTGTGTGTGTGTGTGTGTGATATATATGCATTGTGTACATATTTGGGCACACATGTGTTAGAGTATACATGCACATATGTGTGCATACATGTGATGGTAATAGTTTGACACTGGGCATCTTTCTCTTTCTTTTGCCATCTCATTTACTTATAACTTAATTTTATTCTTTGAGAATTTCATACATGTATGCAATGCATTCCAATCACGTGTCTCTCCCACCCCAACTCCTCTGAATCCTGCCTCACTCCCTTTTTTCAACTTCATGTCCTCTTTTTTTCAATCTGTTCTCCAATATTTGCTATGAATAAATACATGAATGTGAGGCATCAATCGGAGCATAGCCATCTCTCTCTCTCTCTCTCTCTCTCTCTCTCCCTTTCTCTCTCTCTCTCGTTCTGACAGTGTCTCATTGAACCCTGTGATCACACATTTAGCTGGGCTTGCTGGTCAGTGAGCTTCATGGATCTGCCTGTCTCCACTCCCACCCCACCCAGTGCTAGGGTTCCAGACCTATGCCACTATGCCTGACTTTTGTGTGGGGGCTAGGGATCTGACTTTAGGTTCTCAGGCTTGAGCAGCAAGCTCTTCACACACCAAGCCATCTCCCCAGCCCTATCCCACCTCATTCTTAGGCCTAGCATGTTGTGTATGCAATAGTACTGGGACTTTGTACATTGAGGCATGTGGCATGTGTGTCAACTATTCATCGCCCACGGCCCGCCACAATTCTGCCTGTCTTAGGCTGACTCTCTTCTTCCTGGGTAAAAGGCCCATGTCTTAGCAAACATGCTCAGAGTCAAGTCAATATAGAAGAATAGACTGGCTATAGTTAGCTACAAAGTAAATCATCTGGCTTCTGGGAAGCCGAGGACTAGCTGAGGGGATTTGGGTTTTGAACTGTAGGAGCAGATAAACGGAATCTGGAATGGTTTTCAGGAGGCGATAGTGAAGACAAACGTCATCACCTGATGTTCTTCAGCTAAATAAGGCAAAACCATGCTTCTGGGATTTTCAAATGAACTCTCTCAATGTCTGCTTCTTTGCTAGGTACTTCCTGGCCAGTAGCTGGAGTTCTGAAGCAACATGCCAGAACAGAGCAATGACTACCGGGTGGCCGTGTTTGGGGCAGGTGGTGTTGGCAAGAGCTCCCTCGTTTTGCGGTTTGTCAAAGGGACCTTCCGGGAGAGCTATATTCCAACTGTGGAAGACACCTACCGGCAGGTGATCAGCTGTGACAAGAGCATATGCACCCTGCAGATCACCGACACCACCGGGAGCCACCAGTTCCCCGCCATGCAGCGGCTGTCCATCTCCAAAGGCCACGCCTTCATCCTGGTCTACTCCATCACCAGCCGGCAGTCCCTGGAGGAACTCAAGCCCATCTACGAGCAGATCTGTGAGATCAAGGGGGACGTGGAGAGCATCCCCATCATGCTGGTAGGGAACAAGTGTGACGAGAGCCCCAACCGTGAGGTGCAGAGCAGCGAGGCGGAGGCCCTGGCGCGCACGTGGAAGTGTGCTTTCATGGAGACATCGGCCAAGCTCAACCACAACGTCAAGGAACTCTTTCAGGAACTGCTCAACCTGGAGAAGCGCAGGACCGTGAGCCTCCAGATCGATGGCAAGAAGAGCAAGCAGCAGAAACGGAAGGAGAAGCTCAAGGGCAAGTGCGTGGTCATGTGAGAGGCTTCTGCGTAGAAGGAGCTGCTGCCCTTAGGGCATCTCCCCCCCCCCCCCCCCCCCCCCGTGAACCCCACTGTCGTCAGGGCAGCATGTCTGATGCCCATGTGTTAAACATTGCATTTGGCTGTGACATACCCTGCAGTGCCCTCAAGAGGCATTCCATATCCCCCAGCAGCCCACCCCTCAGGAGTTGCCGAATCTGCGATGCTCTCCGCATCCCTGGAAACCGAGGCCAGTCCTGAGCGGGCTTTAGCCATTTGAAGGCGAGGGGACTCAGAGCTGTGGACATAGGAGAAACTGAGAGTACTCTGTAATGCGTGTGTGTGTGTGTGTGTGTGTGTGTGTGTGTGTGTGTGTGTGTGACAGCAGGTTAACCCTTAGCTACTGGAACCATCCCACACCAGGAAACTTAGTTCAGAAGCCACTAACATCTTTGGGGAAGCAGCAGGCAGTCAAAGGAGGCGAGAATCCAGTGGGTCCAACATGGACCTATGGACCCTAGCAGTTCCTGTTAATGCATTTTTAGTGGGATTAAAGACAAAATACCATAGCCCCCTCCAAATGATGCTCATGTTGTTCCTGCTGACACACAATGCGGGGATGCCCTCACTTCCTCAAAGTCTTCTTACAAGTACCGTGTCAGTCTGTCAATTGTACACACTTCACATGTAAGGCAAAGGCACCTACGGCATGACGCTGTGCCAGCACTTCCTCCATTTTGGGGGTAGGACATTGTGACATCATGCAAAGATTGCAATAATGCCCGTGTGTGTGTGTGTGTGTGTGTGTGTGTGTGTGTGTGATACTTTGAGGGTCTTAGAAACATAAACTTTCTTTCTTTTGACCTTCGAGGGTGGCCACTTCTCCCAGCCCTCAGATTTTTAAATAAAAGCAAATAAAGTAGGCATTTTTTTTTAGACTTCTACCTTCCCCTCCCCTAAGATGGCTTTCTTGTCTTAAATAACTCCATGTGTACCCAGCTGGGAAACAGCCAGCCAAGAGCATCTAATAACCAAAAGCACACCCATTTTTCTAAACGACATGAGCCTGCAGATGCCACGCACTGCACCTCAATGAAATACTCAGAAACAGACGTCATTCACTGTGTTTTTAACAACTTATCTATATTGGAAGTAGATTGCTAGAAGATGCATTTAATTACAAGTAATTTTCCCCCTGTTCCTTGTTAAATGTCCTTAAGTTCCTCAGTGTGGTGTGCACCCCAGAACCAGTTCTTTCCTAATGCCTGTGTGTGTACCCTGGATTCCTCAGAACAAACCAGCCATGGCTTGAGGCAGCAGAGGCCATGCCAACTACAGATAGATCACTCTCTCTTTTCTGGGCACAATGCCCTCAGCTTAGTCCAATTTGCCTGCCATCCTGGGGTCTAACTGGGTTTTGATTCTTGAAAATTCTTACTCCCGCAGCCAATGAGAAGGAGCTCCTGTCTCACCTGGTGGGACAAAACCCATGCTGGCCTCAGGTGCTGGCTTGGCCACTCTCTTAGCCATCTTACCATTGCCCAGTCAGCAGGTCGAGGGGATTGCAGCACAGAGAGGACTATATAGTGACCCTATGGCCTCTGTGCAGAGCTCCCGAGACTGGCGTGTTGTGGTAGGCCTCTTGTTCCACCTATGCCTCCAAAGCACTCTGTATTCAAACTCCTTTGTTTCCTTCAGGCCTCTAGAATTCAGTCTCCTTGTCTGGCCTGGCCCACTCTGCTCTGTCAATCATAGCCCACCCTGGCGACATGCTGAGGGTTGGGAAGGTCCCTCAGGATACCGTATGGCTCAGTGATCTTACCATTTCTGTGGACTTCTAGAACAAAATCCTTGGGGACCTGGGTGAGCAGCCACCCTGAAAAATGAGGAAAGCCCAGGAGTCAACCATGAGCTCAGATCCATTCTGGGCCCCCTCTGAGGCTCTTCTGTTGCTCCTTCTGTTCCCTAAAACCATTCCCTATCACAGGAAGATGGAGCTGCAGAGTTTTATTTTTTATTTATTTTTTGAACGTCTGTAATTTGTTGTTCCATTTCTTCCTATTTCTCAGAGGAAATGTGTCACCTTGCCATTTCGGGGTGAGATTAGCGAAGGAAAGGCCATGACCCCACGGCGGACATAGGATATATATGTTTGTGGTGATCCCGTCACGGTTAGTAAAATCCTGCCTCTCTCACTGACAGGAGCCATTTTAGGTGGAACGTTGCTACAAACTTCGCTATTCCCAGCGACCATGTCAGGGTTCTTTGAGATCTTTAAGTCAGTGTCCATATTCCTAAGTATTTTGGTCTTCATTGCCATGAGAATCTTGTGGTTATTCTGTTCACAGTCCTCGTTCCTTTCTGTTCTGCCTGTGAGTTTAGAGGTTGGGAGGCTGCTAAAGCCTCCCTCGCTGGGTTTCATTCGGACACTGCTTTTCTCCTCTAGATTGAGCTGAGCCCTGGGCATCTATCTCAACATCTCTTTTTGCAAATGTCCCTCTGACTCAGGAGCCGAGGGTGCAGGACTACTGGGCCAATGGCTTTCAGCGTTGCTTTGGTCCCATCCCAAGTCATAAAGCTGAGATTCTTGGTGACATCCTACGTTGTAAATGGGACTGGAACGTTCTGATCCAGCCCCAGCTCATTATAAAACTTGAAATATTGCTTTGAAGATGGCACTCTGGGGTTAAGCACGGGGCTCCATGAGTTCCCTAATCCCCACCAGTCCCCTCTCCATTCAGTGACAAGCCATGGGCATGCATCCAATGCATCAAGTCCAACAAAGAGCAATATCCAATTGTCCACTAGATCTAAAATTATATATATTATGTAATTTATCTTCCTGCACTTTTGAAGTATAAAGTAGTAAATTGTATATATCTATCTCTATATATCTATAAGCTAGTATATCTGTTTCACTATTTGTAATATTTGAGAACTGCTCATTCTTTGTAGAACACAAAAATGTATTAAATATTTTAAAATTGCGCTGTGATATTCCTCCCTGCCCCAAGTTTGTAAAGTGTTGGTCCTACACAAGCCGTCTGGAAATACCATAGCCAAAGGGGCATGCGGAACTCCTACAGGCCACCTCCTGGGATTCAGTAGCCCACAAAGACCTTGTGTCAATCAGATACCCGCGGAGAGTGACCGTTGGCATGCGAGATGCCGACACAGGCTCCCACATCAGGAACTTGCTCTTCTGGCTTCATACTTGGTTATGTCTGACAGATTGTATGATCACCTCACACAAGGTCCTAGCTGCAGTGATGGCCCCAACCCGTGGAACCAGTTACAATAAAGCTCAGTTATGACACTGGCTGGAAAGAGGTTTGGGTTTTTATTTTGTGTATGTGTGCATGTGTGTATATGCCTGTGGAGGTCAGAGGCCAGCCCCAAGGAGCCAACCACCTTGTTTTTTTTTGAGACAGTGTCTATGATTGGAACCTGGGGATTGTCAATTGCACTAGTCAGCTAGGGAGCCCCAAGGATCATCCTGTCTCCACCTCCTTATTACTCCTGTCCATATTTTTTTAAAAAACATAAGAAAAACAAAACCCCTAGGTTCTAGGTTCAGATTCAGGGTTTCAAGTTTGCACAGCACCCATATTAACTACTAAGCTATACTTCTGCCTCAAGATCGCTTCCTCTTTTTTTTTTTAAATAACGGAATAAATGTGAGATAATGTTTTTAAGTTTAAATTGATGAGCTCCAAATGGGAGGGAAGGATCAAGCACTTTATTTTTCATAGCAGAAAGACACTTAAGCCACACACTGCGTCACAGAGGTTACAGGTGTGTTTCTGTGTTCCACCGTGCTTGCCTGGATTTTTATGTGGGGGTCTGAGGACCTGATCTTGGGTCCTTGCCCTTTGCTGACTGAACCATCTGCCCATTCACTTTCTCCCAGTTTTTAAGGGTTAATCTGACTGGCATGGCATGGACCAGCTGCTCTGCAAGCTGCAGTCACGTGACCTTGGAGGACTGTGGACTTCATCTTGAATAGAAACAGAAACCTGCCAGGATGTTTCCTAGGATGTTTTCCTCATTGGTGGAAAGGAAAGAGATACCCCGGCGAGGACAGGGGAGAGGGAGGGAAGGGGTAAGACGCGATAAAACAGCAGGGCAGGCAAATTCTTTTTTTTTTTATTCCTTTTTAATTCTGTACAACCCCTCCCTTCAGGCAATTAAGTAAGGACAAAGCCCCTAGCATTTGTTCCTGGGCTTGGTTCCTGCCTCCTTTTCATTCTTCTTACTCCACAGAGTGTGAAATAAAATGCAACTTTTTCGAAACTAAGAAGCAGACAAGAAATGATAGCCCCGATTCTGCCACTGACAGAGCGACAATGCTTAGTTTACACTCTGTGGTTCTACTGAATGGGGCTTATCAGAATCTGAAAGGTGGGCATGAGGGTCATTTAAAGACTACACAAAGCCCTGGCTGCTGGCTTGCCACATCGGAGCCTTCGGAAGAAGCAAGCAAACCCTGCCCAGGGCTACCTACTATTTGAAGGTCTGCAGTGTAAAATTTGACCTGTGCAGAGAGAAAATCACAGAAACTATTTAGAAGTCCTTTGAACAGCTTTCTGGCCATGCTGTCTGCACACCACTCCCTACAGTTCCTGTCTGCTTTGCAACACCCCTCCCCATCTCATAGTTATTGCTGTTTTATCCAGCTATTCCTAGCTATGGAAGTAACCACAACGAGCAGGTCCGCTTGGTTCCCCATAGTGAAAGGATACATTGGCTGCCAGTTACAAAGGTCTTGAGACTCAGGAACATCCCACTGCAGCAGCAAGAGATGTCCTTGCAGTCTTACTTAGTAGAAGAACTATGTGTCCTCAGATGACGAGACGTTATTTTCACACCAGTCATCTCCAGGCACCATTGGTGGAAAACTTAAATTGGGTTCACAAATCAAGGATATGTATGTATGTATGTATGTATGTTTTAATGGACAAGTTTTACTGGCTAGAGCTTAATTAAGTCAAGCAGGGAATTAAATTACCCAGAACACTCAAAGAATTGAAGATGCCTCTTAATTGACATTTGTTTTTC